CTTTTATTTTGAAAAAGTAGAACAACAATTTTCTTATAATTATCATACCTAACTATAAAAAGTTATTTCTCACCATGACAATTTTTAAAAAGCAGAGAGAATGTAGTTGATTGAAAATAGAGTGTACCAAGTCACCAAAAATCTATTGGGAAAGATTTAAACCTTGTTTGAGATAGCTTTCTTAATGCTTTCTACAAACAATTTTTTAGTTAAAAATTTTATTGAATTAAAAATTTTTGTACTAAAAATTTATTTTAGAAAGCAATGAAAAAGTTGTCCCAAACGAAGCCTTAAGCCAAGTTTTAGTTTTTCTTAAATCCTCCCTAAAATAGAGTGTGCCAGAAATCCCGTAAGAATAGTGAAATAACTGTATGTTCAAAACACTTACTGTTTCTTGAAGGCCAACTTCCCTAAGAGCATCTTCAATCTTAGGAGCCGAGCAGATATGCTGAAGTGATTTTCTAAGCATTTTACGCTTTCCATTGAAGGCAGAGTTCACCTAGAACCAAGAAAGCAATGGTCCTTTCAGTTCATGAAAGCTTTGTAACAAATGAAAATACTAGGAAATAAATAAGGAAGAGGTGCAAAAATAATCTTACCACTGCTATAGCATGAAATGCAATTAAAAGCTTGATTTGGGTTAAAATGTATGACTAGCTTCCATCAAGAGTCAAGAGTGTTTCAAATAGATTTAGGCTTCGTTTGGAACAGCTTCATTACTATTTTCTGAAGTGGCTTTTTAGTACAAAAATTTTGTACAAAAAAGCTGCTTTATAAAGCATGAAGAAAACTGTCCCAAATGAAGCCTTAGTTTAAAAAAAAGAATGAAAACTAATTGGGATCAAAATAGGATTCAAGTCCACTAAATTTGTTTTGAGATACGCGCAATATCAATTTTAATTGATTGCTTATATATGGCATTCACCTCCAAGAAAATCCTTGTTGACTGTAACCGTTTATCCACCGACCCTTTCTTTATTAGATTTAAACGAGAATTTGATTTTTAATAGGACACAATGGAGAAAAAGGATTCATGTAGCCGACCCCACATAGTGGGATAAAGGCTTGATGTTGTTGTTGTTGCTTATATATGGCATTCATCTCCAAGAAAATCCTATGACTTAAAAAATCCATTGCTTGGTGAGAGTATTTGATGCTAAAAAGTTTCTGAGGACAGATCTCTTAACTTGCAGTTGAGAGGAAGATGGTACATAATTGTTGGAGCAATAGGGCAACAACTTTATTCGACTCGAAACAAATTGTGATTTGACAAAAATGCTCTTTCAACGTTCATATCATCATAATACCCAAGAGCCTCAACTCAAATATACAATATTAACTCCGACCAAGCAAATAAGCTAATGAATAGCCTCAACACAGTTTTGAGTTCCACATTTTAGGTTCCGCCGTGTCCCCTCCCTCTTGTGTCTCGCTATGTACGATAAGTGTCAAAATCTAATTTCACCCACAAAAAAAAAATCTACACAATTTTTTAAGTTTCCGACACATGTCAAGGCATGTCAAAGCCTTGTTTGTGGCCCACACATACACACAAGCTATTTAGGAGCATCCTTACATCATAGTTTCCATGGAGCCTTCTAATTGATATAAATCTAAAAACCCAATTAATCCTGGCTAGCACAAAGCAAATGAACCCATCAAATCATGCTTAATGCTTGGGCTTCAATTGATGTAAGAAACAATCCAAACTAAGCTTTAGTCAACTTCCATGCTAACAAATCCATTAATCAAAACCAATCCCACATACAAAAATTCACATTTCTTAATCGTTCTTCTTTGTAGCAAACTAAAACTCATGGATCATGTGATGCCTCTGAGCTCATCGGTCATGTTTAATACCTCTGAGAAACACACGATCATGCTTTGTGCATTGAATTATTCAATATAGCTGGTGTGGGGAACCTATTTAACCCTTAACATTATGGTTTAAAGAACTCTAAATTTAGTAGGCTGGGTCCATTAATATATTTGGGATGATGAAATATAAGAACTTGATCGGGTATATCTCTATCATCCTAAACATTCCTACTTAGTTAAATTCATATCAAACCTAAATATTGAACTTGAGCCAAACATTTGATCCCAAATAATCAAGAGTGTTCTTTGTGAGCATGATTGATAATTAATTATGAGGTTTGTACTCATAGGAAGTCTCAACCACATAACTGAATAAACCCCAATCAAACATCTGGTGTTTGGAAATTTTGATTAAAATATATATAATCTACCTAAGGAAATGCTACTCCCAAGTGATCACATCAAATCAAGAAGACTTGAAGCACGGCTTCACTTTTCTTGAGCAATCAAACCCAAACTAAACTAAGCACAAAGGCTTTCATTTGACAAAATCTTGAAACTCTAAATGATCTATATGAGGCAGTTGAAACAGGACTGTCGATCCATCAAGGTTTCCATTTTGACCAAGAACTAGTTCTATTCCAACATTATTTTTACATTTGCTTTTGAATCTATTAGTATCCACGGAAAAATACGGACGCAAAGACCAGAAAACCAATAATTAATAAAAACAATCTTCGACATTAACATCCATGAAATACAAGCTTAAATTTGCATTAAATGATTGGTTCAATAACCTATTGGTGGAAAAAACTTGAATGTATACTCTTTGTGGTTTCAAAATTGAACTTTATGAAGAAGAAAAATACCGCATTACCATAGAAAAAAAACCATTTTTAGACATGACTTGTGGATATTCTGACTTCCGCTTCAACTTAAACTTTACAATTGCAGCATCAACCTAGAAAGTTCATTGACAAGAACCATTAGTTTTGAAAATACAAGTGAGAGGCATGTATAGTTATATTAAAGGATGCAGCAAAGACAGAAAATGAGGATTCATAAAATTGAATCAAAGTCATAAGTCTAATAATGTTGATGGCTAAACTTTCTAAACAGTTAACTAAGAATTTAAGGAAATCCTCATAGTCATCAAATTGTCAAGAAGTTGAGCTTTCTAATAAGGCTTGAGACTGGAATATAAGACAACTTAAATGAAACTTTAGCATTGTTTCTTCCTCATGATAAAAGCTTTATTCATTCGCCAAGTTGATATTCTTGAAGTTCTCAATTTGTCTAGTCAACCCCTATAACCAACAGTATTATATCCACATATACGGGCATATTGAACGAGTCATTTTAAGAAGATGACACAAGTTTCCAGTCCAACATTCGTAGTGGTTATGCGTATCTAATAAATGGCTTCTGCAATAAATGAATGATAAATCAAAGAATTTTTATTTGTTTTGGCTAAATTCGTTTAAATATAACACTCACGAAACTAAGTGCAATTTGATCAAAGAGTTCATATGATAAATACGCTTATCTTTCCAAGGTGCAGCTTCAACTCTTAAAGTGACAAGATACAAAAGTTTAAAGTGAATACAAAACACATAGGTAACACCTTTGCGTACTCTTATTGAACGTGAACCAATGTCTGTTCTGTAACAAAGTACAAGTTGTTTTTGTGCAAATTCAATTATGCAATAAAATAAACAATGCATTTATGATGGCTCTTCGTGGTAATCATCAAGAGAAACATGCATGATATAAATGTTGACACGAGTTAAATTAAGAAACTTCAACTAGGGACTATTCTTACATTTGGCTGAGGGAAAAAATTTGTTCTTTCAACTTTGCATATGTATTCAGCATCTGCGCATTTATTAATGATATTCAAAACCTCATAGAACATAAGAACTGTAAATGCATCATGTTAAGAAAGTACATGGATAAACCAACGCTCAAAAATGTATTAAGGGCAAACAACAGAGCAAGCTTATCATATATCTTTTTCTGGTGATCTTCTAAGGTAACTAAGATTTTATTTAGTTCATTGCTTGAGAATTAGGTTACGAATTATTGAAGCAACTAAAAATTAAGAAAATGAGATCTTCAGTGACAAGATCCTCTAGTAGAGTTCCAGGAAGCACAAAAAACTTGTTACACTCAGAACATCTAATATGTAATTGCAAAAACAAACAATAAAGGAGAAAAGGATTATATTCCTTAATCATAAAATGTTTGTTAAGTTCAGATGATTCACTATTTAAGTCTTAATACATTTCATTAAAGTCTTTGCAAGATCATATTTTCTTAAATGTGATCAAAATCAATTACTTCTAACTTCTATTGTGTGAAATATAACAAAAATCCTACATTATCAACAGGAATATTTTCAATCCCAAAACAATATTTGATACAAAACTATATGCTAATAGAAATTCAACCAATTTAACATGTTTGGGTACCTTTTTTTTATGCGAAATCAAATACTACAAAGCTCAATGATCTGAATAGATGACAAACTCCTTGGGCAACTAGTATCCAAAATCAAAGTACTCGCATAACTACATAAAATTATCTAACATAATTTGAATATTTTGCTTTGCATCATCAATTTCACAATAAAGAAAACAAGTGGATGTTCCTCTAAGTACCTGCTCCTGATCGTATCACAAGAAACTTCAAACACCTTATTAAAATGAGATGGTTTAAGCACGTGTGCATGTAAGCCTCTTTTTAATATCCTTAAAAGCAACAGCATCAACAACAACAATAATATCAAGCCTTTATCCCACTACGTGAGGTCGGCTACATGAATCTTTTTTCTCCATTGTGTCATGTTAAGAGTCAAATTCTCATTTAAATCTAAATTAAAAAAAGATCATTTCTAATATTTTCTAATCAAGTTTTTAGGTCTGCTCTTGATCGTACCTCTACCTTTTTTAGCATAGACCAAATCTAATACATCTACTTTCCAAATTGGGTCAATGGAAGGTCAATGTTCTATGTGACAAAACTATCTAAGTTGACTCTCTCGAATCTGTCACTGGAGCTACTAGAACAAGGTCACTTTGTGGCTTAGTAAATTATATTTTAATAAATAAAAAACATAGTTAAAATTTGAAGAAATCATTTTCATTTATTTTGCATATCAAATAGAAATCATTATATTAATTTCAAAAGGTTTTGAATAGAAAATTGATCAGCCCATTCAATGGATTGTTTAGGCTAGAGAAACATGAGGACTTTTGTTTACCTAACACTTGTTTGTGACATTTTTTTTTCAACTGTTTCCAGCTAGCTAACAATAAAAACAAACATGTAAAGTAAAACTTATTATACTCGTGCAATCCACGGATCAAACATAGGCGGATAAGCCAAATCTAAAAACTAGTAGGCGAACGCTATTTTCTGCCCTCAATCATAAAAAAATTGATTTAAATTGAAAGGTCAGACATTTAATTAAAATAGTGTAAAAAATAAAATAATGAAAATAAGAGCAAAGAAATAAAAAAAAAATCTAATATCAATTATCAACGACCATAAAATTAAGAAGTCATAACATTCAAAAATTAGGATTTCAAAAGCCATAACAAAAAAAATAATAAAATTAGGATTTAAATTCAAAGTCCATGGATCACTACCTTCTATCGTTTGAATAATAAAACTCCACTTCAGCCAATGCAGGCGCATAGTGCTTGAAAGAAAATAGAGTTTGTCACCTTAGTCCCTGACTGCTAAGATCAACTCGTTCATAGCTATACTTCACACAAAGCAAACAAAGCCTAAACAGAGCTCGAAATGGAAGAAATTTGATCACCTTTGCTGCGACGGGAGATCGACCCGTTCAAAACTCTACTTTATATGAAGGAAGCGAAGCCGAAGCAGGAGCTCAAATCGATGAAAGATCGTTACGTTCTTTGTTAGCACCTTACTGATTCGACGATTGTTTCCGAAGGAAGAGGCAGAGAGCTTCTCTTTCAAAACGATACTTCATACTCACAGCCGATGTCGAAACAGGCGCCCTAAAACTTATTATACGCGTGCAATTGTAAAAAAAGAAAAAAAAAATTGAACGAGGTGCTTCGCCTCATTGCGTACACCCCATTTAAAAAAACCGTATGCCTCACCCGTTCGGGTGAGGCTTACGCCTTGATGTGCCATGGGTCTGCCCTTGAATCGAGGTGTGCCTCAAGGCATGTGCATTGAACTCCTTTTTAATGCATGGTAGGTAGAACTCTTATGTATACTGACCAATTGATTTCTATCCTTATTGACAATGTTGATATCAAAGATACAAAATTAGTTCAAAATCAGTGGGTTTAAAGTGTCCATGAAGTAGCGGTTTCATTTAATACCAACAACATATAGGGCCCTTTCCTTCTCGCCTTGTAGATTGCAACAACTAAATCCACCAAGTGTCGGCTCCACCTTTCTATTTGTAAGCTATATATTTGACTTGCCTCTTTGTTTCAATTTTCATGCATTCAAAGAAAATTTCTACTGGTTGTTTTCAATCTAAACAATCTTCTATATGTAGGTGGCCATCAAAGAGAGAAGAATCAAAGTTTAGCCAAAAATCTACACAATGTTCATCTTGTGTATAAAGCTCCCGTCGATTGAATTGATTTGGCTGAACATCTTCATCGGCATTAGAATCGAATAAATCAAACAGACTTCAGGGATCAATGCTTTCTTCATATTTCGACTAATCCTATCCGAGTAACTGATAATCATTGATCCATTCATCGCCCTTCACGATGTAATGCAGAAGACTCACACTGGGATGATATGGGTGTCATTCCTGCCGCTATGGTTGTCAGTTTGCTGCAAACACCAGATTTCATAGTTTGCAATTGTTGTCACATATCTATAGAAAATCAAAGGAGCTCGATAGTGAGGTCATCCATCCTATGCCCTAGACTAGCCTGAGCCGCCCAACTTCCAGACTTCGATTGTTGCCGGACTCCGAACGCTTGCTCCCATGTGCCATTTCTAGCTCCAATACCACATTGGTGTATTAAAAAGAAAAAAAGCAAGTTATCAAGGTGTTGACCTTCGTATAAAATCCAGAAGAAACAAAGGTGAAAATCCCGTAAATCATACATGCAGACTATCGGATCCACGAAAGCCTCCGCGAATCCTGCCGTTCGGCACCGTCTGCGTTGTTTCTCCGAAAAATCTGCAGAAATCCTGCCTAAATCCTGCGAACCGCTTCGATCGCCTCCCATTCGCGGCTATAAAACGAAGATGAAGGCTTCGTTCAAAGCATTCCATTCCACGATCCTCCTTCTCTTGACTCCAAGTCACGATCCTCCCTCCCGATCCAAAACCATCAGACCCCCACCGCTTCTACCCGAGTTCTCGTCGCCTGAAGCTAACCCGACGCCAGAACTCCTTCGACGGCGTTCCTTCCTTGTCCGATCGGGAAGCTACAACACTTCGATCGGAAGCGACGTTGGAGCTCGCTGCCTCCTGTGCTGTCATCCGACGACGCTTCCTTGCTGTCGGATCGGAAGACGTTTTGATCGGAAGCAACGGGAGCTCCGCCGGCTGTGAGGGCTTGATCCCGATCCTCACACAGAGAGAGAGAGGGAGAGGGAGAATCCGGTGCCTCCTCCTTTGCTGGCCGAATTCGCTCCTTCCACGACATTTCTTCCGGCCCAGGAGCTCCGCCGACTGTGAGGGCTTGATCCCGATCCTCACACAGAGAGAGAGAGGGAGAGGGAGAGGGAGAAACCGATGCCTCCTCCTTTGCTGGCCGAATTCGCTCCTTCCACGACATTTCTTCCGGCCCGATCGGAAGTTACAACATTTTGAGTGGAAACAACAACAGGAGCTCAAAGGCTGTGAAGGTAACTTTGCTCCCTTTCATGTGCTTCTCGGTCAAATCCCATAAATAAAAAAAAAAAAAATATATATATATATATA